TATACGATAGAATGAATGTAAAACTAATGTTCTCCCATGCAAACTATCACATAATTCACAAAAATAAAAAAAAATAAATTTATAAAAAAAATAAAAAAAGAGTTGATGTTATATTATCTGCCCTAAATCACATCTCAGCAATGGGGGCGGAAGGTGAGGGATTATCACCAAAATCCATCTCCATCTTGAAAGGGTGTGGGTTTTTGGTAGTTCCTATCTTTTGGAAGCCCAATCCAAGCTGGCCATTCCACTTAAGGATTTAGAATAGGCAGGCCATGGTTCAGATTACAAAATGAAAGGGACCAAACCCATGAACCTGGCTGGGATGGAGGCCTTGGCTCTGACTACAACTTGCATGGAGACACTTTGCCAAATTGTGATAAAATAGCCCAATTTGGGGAAACTCTCTTTCTCCTAGATGGTGGTTCTATTCAGGAAAGTGAATTTAGAACTCAGAGATGGTTTGTGAATGAGGTAAAGGCTCATGAGAATTTGGTTCAGTGACTTTGTTATATTAAGAGGAATCCAATTGGATAGGCTTCACTCAGGTGGGATGGAAAGGGTTAAAACATTTTCAAGTCTGGACCCTGCTATTTGCTAACTGGGTGATCTTGTGCAATCCACCTTCTCTCCAAATCTCTTGTTACCTAATTGGTAAAATAAGGATCATGAGCAATACTGCTTCAGAGTGCCGTGGTGGGGTTTTGATGGATAACAAGCTTAGCACTTCATCTGAAGGCATTAGGATCAGATACAGGCAGGACAGGAAGAACCAGTATCAGCTGCCAAGCAGTGTTGTTGTTGTTAAGTGCTGTTGAGTTACTTCCAACTCATAGCGACCCTGCATAGGGTTTCCAAGGAGCAGCTGGCGAACTCTAACTGCTGACCTAGCGATTCAAACCAACTTTGTGGACCAGAACTCCTAAGGATGCATTCCTCAGATGATAGGACAGGGCATACTGACCATGTATTGCTTGCCATGCCCTATGCGAGCATTCCCACGAGAGCACTTCAAAAGTTGTGGCAAAATGGAATGAAAAGATAATGGGTTTCCCCCATAAACTTTTTGAAGCCCTTTCATATTCTCAGCAGTGTCCACCCCTGAGTTTGCATTTCAGGTGTAGTAGAGCACATTGAGTAATCTCAGACTGCCCAAGCTTCAATCCCAGTTACACCACCCAGCACAGCTGTGTGACCAAGGACATGCAATTTGGTCTTTAAGTGCTTGGGTTTGCCCATCTGTGAAACAAGATTTTGTGAGGATTATACCTAGAGGACCCACGGCAGCATTTGGCAGAATGTGAATTCCAGAAATATAGCAATATGGGTCAGGAGAGTGGCCTCCTGTGCCACTCCTCACCCTCCTCAGCTTTAGGGATACCCTTTCTATCCACTTTACGGGTGTCTACTGTGGCACTATAGGATAAGCACTGGAAAGATAACTGCAAGGTTGGTGGTTCAAATCTACCAGTTGCTCTTTGACAACCTATACAGAGTCGCTAAGAGTCCTAACTGACTTGACAACAACTCCATCTGAGCTCTAGGTGAGGAAGACAGTCCTGGTATGGCGTTGTAGGATAAGCACTGGACTGCAAGGTTGGTTTGAATCGCGTGATCAGTTTGAATCACAAGGTTGGCGGTTCAAACTCACCAGCTGCTCCTCAGAATTCCTATACAGGATCGCTATGAGTCAGAACCGACTCCACGGCATTTAACAACAATCCATCTAAGCTCTAGATGAAGAAGAAAGGACTCAGGAGCTCTGGTGGGATTGCTAAATTAATTCAAGACACTGGGTCCCTAGAGGGTTCAGCTTGCTCCCCGAGAAGGTGCCCTGGTTAAGGCTGTGCTAAGTCTCTCTTTGGGTCGTTTCCTGAGATGACATTACTCCAGTAGGATGAGTGGAGCCTCTTCTAGTAAGGGTGTCTCTGCCCTGGGGGCATCCACTCACCCCTCACCCAGCTTCCCAGTAGCCCCTCAAGTTAGTGAGCCAGGCTGGAGCTATTTGCCCGACCCCACCTCGGAGACGTTCTCCTCACACAGGAGATGGCCGGGTCCCTCCGATTGCCACTGGTATCTGCGCCCAGGGCTGCACACCTCCGGGCAAAGGAACGGCTAGGTGAGTGGTGACAGCCCTCGGATCGCCTATAGCGACGGGCTTGTGCATTTCTTGATCCACCCTGCTCGCTCCCAGGCGCGGGGTCCAAGACCACTAGGTACTGAGGCCCCTCTACTCATCTCCACACTCGGCGGGAAGGACCGAGGGCGCAGGGGACGGGGACTTCCGTGTGGGGTCCAGAAAACTGGGGTCCGGGTCAAGGGGACACTACGAAGTAGGGGCGCGAGGTGCAGGCCCAGCGGGGACGCGGAAGGCCCGCGGGGGCGCGCGGCCGCCCCGCCCCGTGACGCATTTCCAACTGCCTGGAACCACGTCTTGGGACGAGCGCGCGCCCGACTGCCGGGGAGCGCGCCTCGTGAACGCGCATCCGCCACGTGACCCCCGCGACGGCCTATCGGCGGGCCGGGATTTGGGGGGCAAAGCGCGGCCCCGCGAGCAGTTGCGGCGGGAGAGCGGCGGGGCTGAGAGCGTGACTCGCCCGCTCCGGCGCTGCCCCTGCCTTCACCGCCGTCGCCAGCCGCGCAGCCATGTCCGAGGAGAAGCCTAAGGTAAGCAGCCGACGGGCGGACGTGGGCCCCGCTTCCCGCGCTCCGGCCTCGGCCTCCCGAGCCCGCCACCATCTGGGGAGCTCGGCCGCCGTATGCGGCCGGTTCAATGCGGCACGGCCTTTTCTGGTCTGCGGAGGACGCGGTGCCGATGGCCTAGGCACCTCTGGCCTGCGCGAGCGGGCCATCCCTTCCCCTCCCCCGCACGGGTGCTCCCCTCCCCCGCCCAGCGGCGACCGTGGCGCGCCCGCTTCACGCCCCGCCCCAGGGACGCTCCTCCTCATCCCCCGAGCTCCGCCCCATCCCGAGCTCCGCCCCAGGAACGCCCAATTCAGGGCCCCGCCCCTGGCTCACTGTATTGGAGCTGCCAGGCTTTTCCTAACCCTCCTCACAAGCACCCATGCAATCCCGCTCGGATCTTTTAAGCAGAGTTCCCTTTGACCGGAACCACTGCTTTCCTGCCCGGATACCCCCAGTTAGCTCGTTCCCACTGTCGCTTGAGTCCCTGATCCCCCGCACGTGGCCTGCGGAGCGGACCCTGGTATTATCCACCAGGGCATCTTTGCGAGGCTTCAAGACTCACACTTCAGCACTGGGTTCTCCTCTCTTTAGGGGTTGACTCCGGGCCAAACCTCAGTTCCGCTCAGTGTCTGATACTGGCAGGGGCAGCCCCGATCTGGGCTGGAGACCCTCATGGCAAAGTCACCCTGGAGACACGCGCCGTTTACTAGATGCCGGAACTCTCGGTGCGCGCCCTCCATACCCCTCCATAGCATGCTCTCTTCCTTCCATGCACGTCTTTCAGTCATAGCACTGCCTGCCTCCACCGCCTCCGTTCCCCCCACCCCAAACCCCCGCGCGCTTCCGCTCCCCATCATGCCTACCCCCTTCCCCTCCGCAGTGTCACCACACAACGCTCGGGATATGCTGTCCTCAATCATCGGGACTCTCCATGTATCCCCCACTTCATATCATAGCGCTCGGGTGTGCAGCTCCTACTCTTCGTCATGAATTCTAGTTTGCTTCCATCTGCCTATCCCAGCTCCCGGGGTGTGTGCATCACCAGTTCAGTGCAGTGGGCCCTTTGTACTAGGGGGGGTCGTGCCACCTGAACTATTATTATTAAGTGCCATCGAGTCGGTTTCGACTCAGCGATCCTGCATAGGGTTTCCGAAGAACAGCTGATGAGCTTTAACCTCCAACCTTGTGGTTCAAATCCACCTGATGAGCTCTAACCTCCGACCTTGTGGTTCAAATCCACCTTGCAGTCCAGCGCAGAAACCCTAAACGCCACATGAACTACTACTATTAATAAAAAGGGAGCATTTCTGAAGTGGTTGGGGGTCAGTGTTTTATTTTAAAGTGGAAGATTTATTTAGCCGAATTTTTACACATGGGCTCGCTCTGATACCAGGCTGGGGATAGCTGTCCTGATTTACAAATGATGAAACTACAACTTGGGGATGGCTGGGGCTGGACTGCACATGCCTGGAAGTCCAAGCACCAGGACCTCTGTGGCCCTTCGGAGGGTCTCTTGAGTTTTCCACTGTCTACAACCAGGGCCTCCATATATGGAGTTGGAGGAGTGCATGAGAGCTGAACAAAGTGTCCTCTGCCCACTAACCATTTGAGCGGCTTTCTTTTTATTTCAGGATTCCTTGTCAACAAAGAAGTCCTGCTAGGGTAGTAGTTACAAGTTAGGGTACTAACTGCAAGATCAGCAGTTCAAATCTACCAGCTGCTCCTCGGGAGAAGGATGAGGCTTTCTGCTCCTGTAAAAATTTACTTCATCAACCCTATACAGGGTTGCTATGAGTCGAAGCCCACTCTACTGCACACAACTTTAACATGAGATTTTCCTCAAATGCATGTCTGGAAGCCCAGTCTATTTGAGTACTTGTTTATTCCAGGTCAAATTTAAGTGTCCTTAGTGATACTGGGAATATGGTGACTGTATATGATAAGCACTGGACTGCTATCCACAAGGTCCGTGGTTCGAGCCTACCAGCTGCTTTGGAAACCCTATACAGGCTTGCTATGAGTTGGAACTAGCTCAGTGGCACTTAACAACAACTTACTGATATTAGAGGTGGGTTCCTCTTGACATTCAAATTTGAGGAAATAGCTGTGATACTTCTTCAGCATTGTTTAGACTTAACTCTGCAGTGTGGTCTTCCTCTGAGGCCCCTTTCCAGGTGAATACTCTTTTGTGTTTGAAGTAATTGCAAGATGGTTGCTGCTGCTGCCTCCAGATGTTTCTGAGCAGCACTCCCTCCCTTCCCCCCTCTCTCCCTCCCTCTCTGTGGAGAGGAAGCCTCTCAGCCAAGCTGAGAAGTTTCTGCCTGCCCCTGGGTTACTGTGATGGGACCTAATTTTCAGAATTGCTTTGCATTTTTTCATTTGCAGGCTCCTCCCTGCACTAGAGAGGAAAGCTTTGGAGGGTGTAAGCAGCTCAGTGTTTATAGTGAAGGCCTCCTGCTGGCCCTCTGCCTTGTTGGAGCCCTACCTTGCTCCTCTATTCTGTTGGATGTTTTTCTGTCTTGTCTTGAAAATACATTTGTCTTTTCATGAAAGAAAAAAAGCTTCCATGGCACAGCTTCCTGCACATTGAGTGTGGCTCCTGAGAGCAGGCACTAGCTAGTGCCATGTCTGAACTTGCTAGTCCATCTGCCAGGGTGGTCCCCATCATCCTTGAGGGGGAGGCGGCTACAGTGAGTGGCTCAACTACTGAGAATCTTGTTAGTACTGCCCTGTGAGAGCGTCTTCAGGCCCACTGCTAGGCCTTCCCTCGCTGGACCAGCCTCGTCCTGAGACTGTCTATGTGGCTTCCAGTGCCTAGTGTAGTGCCTTCTCGAGGGGTCAGCCTCATCAGTTACCACTGGACTGCTGTCTTCTAAACAGTGTCAGAGAAATGCGATGGCCCTATCATTTTAGAGCTATGGTGCCACCATCTTGGGGCCTTGTTATCATTTCCATTGTGTTTCCAGGTCACCAGACACTGGGGCATGTTACTGTCTGGTTGTTGTTGTTGTTGTTGTTAAGTGCCGTCGAGTCGGTTCCGACCCATAGCGACCCTATACAGGGTTTCCGAGGGTGTAAATCTTTACAGGAGTAGAAAGCCTCATCTTTCTCCCGCGGAGCGACTGGCAGTTTCGAACCGCTGACCTTAAGGTTCGCAGCCCGATTCGTAACCACTACGCTACTGGATCATCACTGTTCAGATGAAACTATTTCAAGGGAGAGAGTGCCCGAAGGACGGTTTCCCTTGGCCCAGCTGGGAGGCACCTCATAAAGACAGTGGTGGAAACTTATGCACCAGTTGGCTCATGTTGAACAGCTCCACTGCCAGCATTCCTGCCAACTGTGAAATCATTTGGTTCTGTTTTTGATTACCTTTACCAGTCCCTGTGGCACTGTGGGTTAATGCACTGGACTGAAAAGGTCAGTTTGAACCGCAGGTTGGTGGTTCAGGCTCCCAACTGTTCCTAGAAAACCCTGTACGGGGTTGCTATGAGTTGGAACCAACTCGATGGTACATTAACAACAACCAGTCCCTTATAAGTATCTGTAATCTGTGAGTATGCATTTTTACTGCTTTCACTGAAGAGTAATTTTTTAGAAGCAAAGATGGATTCTCTGAATTTCTTCCTAGATTTATTCAGTTGAGCTGCTGCCTTCTGAAGAGAACTCTGGATTTGCATTGTAATAAATGTACTTTCTTGAATGCAGATGTTTAACTGTTGTTGTTAAGTGCTGTTGAATCAATTCCTACCCATAGCGACCCTGTACAGGGTTTCCGAGGCTGTAAATCTTTACAGGAGCGGAAAGCCTCAATTTTCTCCCACAGAACAGCTGGTAGTTTCGAACTGCTGACCTTAAGGTTTGTAGTCCGATTTGTAACCACTACGCTATCAGATGTTTAACTAGTAGAGTTAAAAGTACATTCTGCATAAAAATAAAGCAAACACATGAGTTATTCAGAACTGGCATTAAATGAGTTTAAGAATTAGACCTGTTTTAATGACTTAGAAAGATACTCAGTGGTTACCTCAGGACTTGCCTCTGTAGTCTTTGATAAAATGGTGGCTAAGGCCTGGCCTCCATTTCTTTCAGGAGGGAGTGAAGACGGAGAATGACCACATCAACCTGAAGGTGGCTGGGCAGGATGGCTCTGTTGTCCAGTTCAAAATCAAGAGGCACACGCCACTAAGCAAGCTGATGAAGGCTTACTGCGAGCGACAGGTGAGTGAGCTTCTGGGGCTTTGTCAGAGACCCTGTCTGCCCACACCCACCATGTGGAGGTCATGTCTGACTTTTTTGCCTTCACAAGTGGGAAGGAGATTCCAATTCAAAACCTGCTCAAGGCAAATTTCTAGGAAGCAGAGGCCAGACATGCCTCCACCCTATATCCTTGTTTATTTTGGTCTGACATCAACCATCCCTCCCACAGCATTCTCGGCTTCACATCTGACTTCAATAATCCATGGCAGTGGCCACATAGAACTCCTAACAGTATTCATGATTATGGGGTTCTTTAGGGAGGTGAACAGGAACAACTCCGGATGCAGCAGTCCTGTCAGGAACGCCTCTAGTCTGCCGCACTGCCCTTGATTTCAACTTCAGCTTCTTAGCCATGTGGCCCCTTGGCTTCTGCCCTTTTTGGGCAAATGTTACAAAGCTCTCTCAGCCAGTCTGTGAATGCCCAAAGGGCACAGTCTACAAGCCAGCCTCCTGCCCATAGGCACTCACCTTTACTCATCCTTGGGTCTAGAAGCCCACAGCTGCTCTGTCTCTCAGCTCTTCTTCTTGGTTCCGTGGTGATCTCCATGTGACATCTGTCTTCCCTGTCTATGCTTGCCTAATCTGCTCTTACAAATCTCAGAAGGAATTGGCTTAAGGCACCACCTACGATGATATATCTTCATTAACATAACAAAGAAAAACCCTATTCTCAGGTGGGCTTATATCTATGGAGCCCTAGTAACACAGTGTTTAAGTGTTTAACTGCTAATTCAAATGTCACCAGCCATTCTGCACAAGAAAGATGTGACAGTCTGCTTCCTAGTAAAGATTTACAGACTTGGAAACCCTATTTTGTTTTTAAGTGCTGTCGAGTAGGTTCTGACCCATAGTGACACTGAGGGTTTCTGAGGAAGGGCTGGTGAACTTGAACCCCCGACCTTGTGGTTCAAACTGACCTTGCAGTCCAGCGCATTACCCCACAACAACATACATACCAGGACTTGTAGAGGTCAGTCTGCTTTGTCCTCTGAGATCACTATGAGTTGGAATCAATGGCAATGGGTTGTTTTCATTTTTGGAGTATGGTGTGGTGCTGCAGGATAGGCACAGGATTGCAAATCAAGGTCATCGGCTCAAACCTACCAGCTGCTCCTTGGAAACCCTATAGAGGAGAGTTGCTGTGAGTCAGAGATGCCTTGAGAGCACTAACAGCACCAACAATGTAAGAATCAGAACCACCCATCCACTCCGAGGAAGACACCTGATGGTTTGTTTCTGTGAAGATAATAGCCAAGAAGATCCTATGGGCAGAGCTACTGTGTCACGTGGGGTCACTATAAGGTGGAGTGAACTTCACAGCACACCCACCACCAATAACAGTTCATTCCGAAGCACACCTCTCATCTTCTTTTGTCTTTGGGTGTCATTTATTTCCACCTGTGACTGAGGAGTACTTAGCTCTCCCATGCCATTCTTCCCAGCAGTACAGTGCTTTATCGGGCTGTAGACACTGCTCACACTGGCCACAGTGTGCTTCCCCCATTCCCGACTCTTTGCCTGTTATTAGTTTTCTTTGTATGTTTGCTGTGGATGCGCTGTGTGTATTGTAGGTTTCCATTAGTATGACACCCCCATGTCTCCCAGTGGAGTCAGGCACATCTAGACACTGCCACCTTTTGGTTTGGTTTTTCCCATCATCTCTCTTGGAGCCCCTATTTCTGTCATGATTTTTGATTACCAGAAAGTCTTAGTTTGTTTTTCTTTGAGCGTTCCTTTTTCCCCCCCAGTAGCAGCTTACAGCATAGTGGTTACAAATCGGGCTGTGAACTGCAAGGTCAGCAGTTCGAAACCACCAGCTGTTCTGTGGGAGAAAGAAGAAGTTTTCTGCTCCCGTAAAGATTTATAGCCATATATAGGGTCGCTATGAGTCCGGAACATAACAAAAACAGCAAGTTATTACTAGTTTCTGGATATAGTATTGCTTCTTCCTTCCTTAAAGAGTTTATAGATTCTTTCATTTTTCCGGTTTCCTTTTACATTCCTTTCCTTTTTCTTTGGTTTCATCTCTTAACATTTTCTAGCTGTTCCTTGAATGACCTCTGGACCTTGGTTAGCTATATGCATTAAGGAGTGGAGTGTGTACTGTACTTAACTTGAAGGAAACTTTATGTGCAAAAGGTGGGGGGGAATTGTTGGAGGTCGGTGTTGACAGGGTCAACAGGCTACACTTGCAGTGACTTACGAGGATTGTTGTTATTAGGTACCTTTGAGTCAGTACCAACTCATAGTGACTGTATGCACAACAGAACGAAACCCTGCCCAATCCTGTGTCAATCTTGTAATCGTTGCTACGGTTGAGCCCATTACTGCTGCCACTGTGCCAGTCCATCTCATTGGGGATCTTCCTCTTTTTCACTGACCCTCCACTGTACCAAGCACAATGTCTTTCTCCAGAGACTGGTCACTCCTGATAATATGTCTGAAATATGAGAGGTGAAGTCTGGCAATCCTTGCCTCTAAGGAACATTCTGATTGTATTTCTTCCAACACAGATTTGTTCTTTTGGCAGTCCATGGTACTTTCACTATTCTCTTTCAACACCGTAACTGAAATGCATCAGTTCTTCTTCAGTCTTCATGATTCATTGTCCAAGTTTCACATGATTATGAGGATATTGAAAATGTCATGGCTTGCGTCAGGCGCACCTTAGCCCTCAAACTGACATCTTTGCTCTTCAACACTTTGGAGAGGTAGTATGCAGCAGATTTGCCTGATGCAATACGTTGTTTGATTTCTTGACTGCTGCTTCCATGAGTGTTGATTGTTGATCTGAGCAAAATGAAGTCTTTTCTCCATTTATCTTGATGTTATTTATTGGTCCAGTTGTAAGGGTTTTCACATCTAGGATTGGTGGGTGTGAAAAGGGCTGCCAGATCTGGAAGTCTGAGTCTGCCCGGAGGAGTCTTTCAATCCCAGGAGGTGGACTCCTCTAGGCTCTTCCCTGGGCTGTATGGCAGTTACCAGTGTCCTGGGAGTACAGTTGGAGGAAGATGAAGTGGGCAGCACTGCCTTACTTGTACTGTTTTCAAGTCGAGACCTGAATCCATGTCTCCTGAGGATGGACTTCTGTCCTTTGAGAGGGCTAGTTGCCTGGTGTCTTGGGACTGGGGCGGATCCTGAGTTGGTGGTATGCTTGGGAACCTCTAAACAGTCATATCCAGAACCAGCAGTGTGGTGCATGTTGGCCTCTCAGAAGGAGACCCTTGCTCTCTCGAGGCTGCCTCCTCAGGGTCTTCAGACCTGCTCTGCATTCTCAGACCATCGTGTCTACTGCTCTGATTTTGACTGCTGTCCTTCTTCTCTCCTTTTTTCTCTGTCTACTGTTTGTGCCTTTGTGTTCTTTGACTTTCATTGAGTAGGGTTCAGGATGGAGCAGGGATACCAGTTTTAGTTGCATCTATCTGTGGCAGTGAAATTGGGAGTTTTTTTTGATGAAATGGTCATGCATATCAACAGCTACCACCCATGCTCTGGGGTGCTAGCAGGCGGCACAGCTCCTTCTGTGTGGAGTACACCAGTGTGTTCTGCTGCCCTCTACACCTTGCTTCCCATTGGTGTTTTCTAGATATGTGCAGCCTCCTTGTCAAACCCTCCCTCCCTGTCAGCTGACCTGTTGGTCTTTGGACATTTCTTAGAGTGGGAACATGGTGGTGCCAACAATGTAGTAATTATTAAAACAGCCCTTGAGGAAGCTGAAGGCAGGACCAAGGAAGGGGATGTGAGTGGCTAGAAGATGTTAGAGACGTGATTTCTGAAGCTGTGTGTATCAGGGCCTCATGTGAGAGATTGTAACTTTACGTGTGTAAGTTTTTATCATCAACTGGATCCCAAATCAGTATGTTGCAAATTAAGCTATGGTATCTGGAAATATTTACTAATACTTGCTTTCTTTTTACAGGGCTTATCTATGAGACAGATTAGATTCAGGTTTGACGGGCAGCCAATTAATGAAACAGACACTCCAGCACAGGTGAGAGCCATCTTTGTGTATGTTCAAGGACTACTTAATGATTCTCTGTTAGAAAACCCTTGAGAATTTTTGATTGTTGCAATGTAGGGCTGTTTTAATATTACTATTTAACTTTGAAGTTAAGTTTTTGAAATGAGCAAAGTTGTCAGATGTCATCATTCATGTTGAAGACTGATGCATGTCTGCCATTGCCCTATGTGCTTCCTGGCCCAGGGTCAGGAACATGAGAAATGGCGAGGACCCACTTTGGTAGCAGGAGCTCCTGCCCACTTGTCATCTAGACACTGACTTTGCAATCTTTGTCAGTCTGTAACTAAATTGCTGGCTTGCTTCCCTTGCCCACTGAGCATTTATGCACCAGGATCAGGATAGAAAGGTGAGCTTGCTGGCACACAACAGTAGCCAGCACACACTAACACCTGTAGGAGTTGTTGTGTCCTATTCTGGTGCAGCAGAGTGTAGCCCCAGGAGCTTGGACTGGAAAGTAGAGGGCTTGAGCTCCATGACTATACTCTTGCTGTCTTGTCTGCTGGTTGACCTTGGGTTGAACTGCTGAATCTCGTCAAGTCCATTTTCTCTGTGAAATTGTAGATTTGTTTTTTTCTCTTTTACAGAGTTGTGGGAGATATTTTCCCAAAACTCTAAAGGGCTAAATGTAGAGTCTTTATTTTTATGGATGTTGGGAGATCAAATCCTGGCTATGAGCCAGACTCTGTGGGGAGGAGGCCACTGAGAGCAACCGCATGTGCTGGGGATTGGCTGGAACAGGAGTTGAAGGAGTAGGGGCTCTTCAGCCCGAACACACAACCCATCGAGAGCCCAGCCTCACTGCTGAAACATTCTGGGAAGCACTGTGGCTTGGTCTACCTCTGTATAAGCTGCCAGAATACCTTTTTATTCAGAGAATGGGGAGAGGTCCGGGTGGATGTTTTTGTTTGCCGCTGCCTTAGAAAAGGGGACTCCAGTGGGACGTCTGAGCACATCTCTGTCCTGGTCTATGTATGAGAGGAGTGGACAGGGGAGCTCACGGTAGACCCCTTACTGTGGTGGACAGCTCCGGCGTCCATTGACTTGGAATTTTACCGGGTGATGACTAGCGCTCCATATACATAGCACTTTTGGCCAGCAGTCCTACTGCGCCGGTAACTGCCTCAGGCTGTGTGACAGTAACTGTCCACCAGCCACCTGGCTCTGAAGTCTGAGTTTAATAACAATTTCGGAGATTTCAGTTTATTTTTAAATGAAACCCTGTTTTTTTCTTTTGTCAGTTAAAATTCTTAGCTTTTGAAGACTTTTTTGTTAAGAGAAATTTGGAGATTAAATAGGGCTTGTAGATCCGTTGTTTCCCTGCATGCTACATAATGAGAAAGTATATAAAAGCAAAGGTGTTTATCCAGCAGTGAGCATTTTATCTTCCTGGGATAAACAGGCTAAAGAGAAACTAACAAATTTTCCTTTTCCCCTGTGCTTGTCACAACAATACTGACAGCTGGAGATGGAAGATGAAGACACGATTGATGTGTTCCAGCAGCAGACGGGCGGCATGCAGGCAGCTGGAGTCCTCTTGGGATGTGACATGTAGGGGGCCCGTCTGATGCCCGTGTCACCTGTCTTTGCATTTGCGATCCAGTAGTAAACAAGTGAACACACCAATACAAAGGAGTCTGCAGAAACTTGAGGACAGTCACCAAATTACTTTTGTCTCTGACATACTTCAAGAGCAACTCAACACTATTTCTGCAGGGATTAATCTATAACTGAAATTGGGCCAATACAAATTGCTATCTTTGTTTAGGTAAAATGAGTTGCAAGGTTTTTTGGGCTTGTTTTTGTTTTTCCCCCTTCTGTAACACTTTTCCACCAAACTTGTGGCCTAACTGTCCATTTCAGTCTGTGGGTGGAGATCTTGGCCCTCCCGTGTTGTGATCCTCCCTCCCCTCATGCTTCATCTAATCATGTAGCTAGTTCCTATATACTGCAGTGGGTGCTTCTTCCGGACATGCATTTTGGGGTCTTGGTGGGGATGGAAGACAAAATTTCACTTGCTATTTGTTTTAGAAACAGCTAAATGCCTAGATAATTGCAAATTTAAACGGTCAGAATCTGATCAAGTTAAAGGGAAAATATTGGAATACTGCTTAAAAAGCAAAAAGGGAAACTGTGTCCCCATAATCCTCACCCCTTGAAGTGTGTCCCCAAAGGGCCGTATGGCCTAGGATCCCCATCAGCGCTACTTACTCAGTACCTGTTGGTTGGTGTAGCGGGCTATAATTGCATAACTAAACCAACTTCTCCCCCTTTTTTTTTTTCATATAGGAGAAAGTAATGATCACAATTCCCATTTGGTAATAGTATTGTGGTCCCATTACTTCTAGTATTTGTTTCTGATGAATAATTATGGTCTCTATATAAAAACATAAGATTAAGTATTGCTGAATTGGCAGTTAACGTTGTTGTGTTCAAGAGCTACTTCGAAGTGTGGTGACAAATGAAACCCATGGAAAGATGACTTCATGTTATTCTCACGGATTTTTGCTATGCTGCTTTCCAAATATGTATTAACTTTATGCATTAGTATGGTGATTTCAGTTCTGTGAACTATTTTGGGATCTATACCAATTAAAAAATATCACATTCTGCCTGTTGTCCTTCAGTAGGGGTTCATTGCTACTTGACAGCCATTCTCTGCTTTTTGTAGTCACCTGGCGGTGTAACATGGCCCGTCATCTCTTGCTTGTTTGAAATCTTGCTGAAAATGTTCTTGTTTGCAGTTTGCTGTGTGGGCAGGGGTGGGATGTTTGTTGGCTCTCGTGTTTATTCACCAATTTGTACATTATTTGTTGTCCTTTACTACTGTAAACAGTAAATATAGTTTGGTACTCTGTCTCTTGGCTTCTATTAAACACTGCATCTGAAGGCTGGGACACGTCTGTCACAATTCAGTATCACTGGGAGCATTCAGAAACTTCAGTGGAAAAACTCATCACAACATGTGACATTCTACCTACTACAGTCCCTCCCCTGGGCTGCTGGCTCACTGCTGAGGGTCATATCCTTGCCTTACGTGCATTCAGCTGGCATCACATGAGGCTGACTTTGCCTCTCAGGGTTCCCATGTCAAGAGAAAGCTAGGTTTGGGATAAGTAAATCTGGACTTTCATCCAGGGATCCTTAATTTTTTTGGTAGTTGAATATAGATATTTCCTTTGTGATGTGGACAGCCAACTCACTTGTGGAAACAGAACTGAATTGATATTCCTTTGTCGCTGAGAGTTTTGCAGCACGCTGCTGTGGTAGCACCCAGGCTCACTGTACTGGAGCTGTTGTGCTCATGAGTTGAAGAGTGCACGAGGTGAAAGTTCATAGTAAGGGACACTGAGCATATGCATGTACTTGATTCATAGCTCAGGACGACTGGTGGGAGTAAGTTAGTTCCCAGAGTTTAATATGCCAGATCTTGATGGTTGGAGGGAGGAGGGGTAGTTACAACTCAGGCAAAGGAGCGTCTTCACTTGTGTAAGGAGAGATGTGTGCCCAAGAGACCCTCAGTTAGAAAAGCTGTGTGTTGACTTGGCTGCATTAGAGCTGTGATGATTGGGTGGAGACAAGAACAGGAAATGCTTTTATCTTAAGAACTCATGCAAAGTTGTGCATCTAGAATAACATCTGTTAATGATGTTTCTAAAAACATTGAATTACATAAACATAACTTACAGAATCTTTGGGTTAAATTGGAAGACTTGCCCTACTTATACTGTTAAGTGTGTCTGGTGTTCCAATCGACCTTCCTAGTGTTAACCCTGAAAGTCCTACATTCCAGGAATCCCCCCTCATTCCCAAGCAATCTGGAACCATGGGTCTCCTGAGCTGTGCTACACAGGGTGCAGCTTGAAAAGTGTAATATACTAAAGCCATGTCATGTCACATGGATTAAGCTGCAAAGTCCATTTTATCCTGAATTTTACTTGTCAGGGATAGCAGATTAATTTTATCCTGAATTTGCTGCCTCTCCAATGTGTGCTGCTTCAAATTAGCACATGCCTGCTACTCAGAACACTTGGACAACCTGTGCCAATTGATCTGAGGTTAGCATTGCCAGATTTAGCAATAAATATATACATAGGTCCCAGTTAAATTTGAATTTCAGATAAAGACCAAGTAGCTGGACCATGGGGAACTGCATTCAGGATAGTGGAACAGGAGAAGTCTGGCTCCCCGGAGACACCATCACCATCCTTCTGCATCTACTTGAGTCACTGCATCCTGTTTAAGCAACTCATATTTTAAGTTTTTGCAACTAGAAGCTAAAATAAATCTGATGCAAATTAGATTACATTTCCTACAATAACTGTTGAAGGCCGCACAGCGTTTCACAGTACGTTAAAAAACGATGCCTGGAAGAAGTTGACAAAAATATTGGTGATGTGCTAGGCTGCTATTTTCATGATGATGCTTTTTAATCACCTGTTGTCAGGTGCCGTTGAGTAGGTTCCAACTTATAGCAACCTTATATATAGCACAACAGAACTTAACACTGCCTGATCCGGCACCATCCTCACAGCTGTTAAGCTTGAGCCCACTGCTTGTGCCAGTCCATCTTGTTAGTGGTCTTCCTCTTGTTTGCTGACCTTCTACTTGACTAAGTCCCTTCTCTAGGGACTTGTCCCCCTTCTGATGATATATCCAAAGTATGAGAGAAAGTCTGGCATGCTGGCCTCAAAGTAACATTCTAGCTGTATTTCCTCCAATATGGATTTGTTTGTTCTGGCAGCCCATGGTACTTTTAATATTCTTCTCCAGCACCAAAACTCAAATGTATCAATTCGACAGTCTTCCTTTATTCACTGTCCAACTTTCACATGCATATGAGGCTACTGAAAATACCATGGCTTGGGGTCAGGCGCACCTTAGTCCTCAAACTGACATCTTTGCTCTGGAACACTATAAAGAGGTCTTGTACAGCAGATTTGCCTAATGCAGTACATTGTTTGATTTCTTGATTGCTGCTTCTGTAAGTGTTGATAATTGATCCAAGAAGAATGAAGTCCTTGACAACTTCAATCTTTTCTCCATATATCATGATACGATATATTGGTCTAATAGTAAGCGTTTTGATTTTCTTTATACTGAGGTGCAACCCATACTGAAGGCTGCGTTCTTTGATCTTCATCAGTAAGTATATTTTAAGTCCTTTTTGCTTTCAGCATGCAAGAATGTATCTTCTGTATATCTTAGGTTATTAATGTGTCTTCCTTCATTCCTGATGCCACATTCTTCATACAGTCCAGCTTCTTGAATTGTTTAGCATGCAGATTGGATAAGTATGGTAAAAGAATACAACCCTGTGGCATCACTTTTCCTGATTTTAAAGCAGTATCCCTGTTCTGTTCGAACAACTGCTTCTTGGTCTATATACAAGTTCCTCACGAGCACAATTGGTGTTCTGGAATACTCATTCTCTGCAGTGTTGTCCATAGCTTGTCATGATCCACAAAGTCGAAAGACTGCATAGTCAATAAAGCACAGGCAAACATCTTTCGGGAGTCCTGGTTTGGCGCTGTGGGTTAATGCGCCAGACTGCAAAACCATTTAAACTATAAGGTCGGTGGTTCGAGTTCAGCAGCTGCTCCTCGGAAACCCTAAACAGAGTTGCTATGGGTTGGAATCGACTCAACGGCCAACAATAATAACAAACATCTTTCTGGTATTCTTTGCTTTCAACCAAGATCTATCTGATGTCAGCAATGGTATCCCTAATTCCACGTCCTCATCTGAGTCCGACTTGAACCTCTGGCAGTTCCCTGTTGCAGCTGCTTTTTTAATGATCTTTAGCAAAAATTTTACTTGCATATAATATTAATGATATTGTTAGATAATTTCAGCATTTTTTGGGGTCACCTCTCTTTGGAATAGGCACAAATATGTATCTCTTTCAATCATTTCCAAATTTCCTGACATAGATAAATGAGTGCCTCCAGTGCTGTATCAGTTTGTTGGAAAATATCAATTTGTGTTTCATCAATTCCTGAAGCCATGTTGTGTGCCATTGTCTTCAATGCACCTTGGACTTCTTCCTTTGGTACCAGTGGCTCTTGATCATATGCTACCTCTTAAAATGGTTGAACATAGACATTTCTTTTTGGTTCAGTGACTCTGTGTATTCCTTCCATCTACTTTTTTTTTTTTCAAGTTTTTATTGTGCATTGAGCGATAGTTTACATGGGAGAATTTCAGGTTTACATACTATCATATCCTTCCATCTACTTTTGAAGTGTTCTGCATCATTTAATATTTTGCCCATGGAAGCCTTCAATGCTTCAAGTTGAGGCTTGGATTCTTTATTCACTTCTTTCAGCTTGAGAAATGTTCTTCCCTTATGGTTTTCTAACTCCAGGTCTTTGTACATGTCATTATAATACTTTGTCTTCTTGAACTGCCCTTTGAAATTTTCTGTTCTGCTGTTTTACTTT